CTGCATGGGATAGAAGCACACTGCTCTACAATGCAGCAGCTGTGGTATTACTATTACTATTCAGACAGTGAAGGGAGTTAGTTGACTTAATGGCTCATTGTTCTTCACTCCACAGGTGTTAATGATTGTCTCTTTTAATGGTCTTAATGTTCCATTAATTAAGCTAACCTTCCTCGTAGCAATTTTACTGTCTGCTAGCTGCTCCTGGTCTCTCTTCTGTTTCGTAGCCCTGGACACTTTTTAGCTGTTTTCAAAATAATTGATCCACTCGGAAAACAGTTTTCAGCAGCCACTAGGTTTTCAGCTTTAAGCAAGCAGGAAAGGGAGGGTGAGTCAGGTGAAAATTAGGCTCTGTCCCTGCTCTATGCATCCATAATTCTGGAAAAATCTTTTTTTTTTTCATTCTGCCTTTCAAAAACAAGACGTGTATTATATTCTATGGTGTGTTCTATGTGAAAAAATATGGTTATAACTCTGCATCACCAGTTCACGTACTCTATGATATGTCATCATGGAATCCTCTGACATACTGTTTTATGAGGCAACAGATTCTTTTTTAATGGTACCATTAATTCTTATGGTAGTCTAATTCTTAGTTTTATCTTCCTTCTTTCTGTATTCCATTATGTCATTGTTTCCGTGACTTAGATGTTTCAGTTTTCTGGCATTTCAAACTAAACTGTCTAATGAGGTAATTCTATATTACCAGGACTTTATAGCAACATTGTTTGTTTATTTTGTGCTTTACGATCATCTTACCATCGTGATCTATATAATTATTGACATATTAAGATAATTTTAGGTAATAGAAGTAAAGTACAGATTTATTTGCAGAAAATATGGAGCATTATCCTTCATACTTTGGCTGACTGTAAAATACTTTTATGTGGTTATTTCTTAGCTGCATTAATTCTATTTCAGTTTCAGATTTTCTGGATATAAGAGGTCACCTTTACAAAAGATAAAATTATGTCTTATTTTTAAAATAAATTTTCGTATTTCTGGGACAGAGGTTTGTGTTTCATTCAGATTAAATTATTTTTTCTTTTAAAACAGATGACATGGAAAAGAAAATATTATGGATCTGAGAGGACTCCAGCAAGAAAAGAATATCAGCTCTACACAAAAAATGTGAGTTAGTGAGGGAGAAATCATTTTAATGCCGTATTAGAGTGGGTGATTTAGGTACATTTGCAGGATCTTAGTTTTCTAGAGTAGGGGATTCTTTTTGGCTTCATTGCACACAGCAGGAAGAAAAATAGTGTAACATGCTTATTTGTACTATTATGTTGTTTCATAACCCAGGAACCATATAAGACACAAATCAATCCCTCTTTCTGTGAAGACTTTGAAGGGTTTGCAGCATAGTTGCTTTGAGTGAAGTCACTCCAAATACAACAACAACAATAATAACAACAATAAAATACAGATAGAAATCAAGCAATTGGAGACAATAAAGGCTTTAAAAAAAATCTGAAAACTTTATACAGCCTAACATATCTCCTGGTAGTATTAAAATAGTTCCATGATTCCAGTCCAGTTTTTTCGTTTCTTTTATGAAAGCTGTATCTGATAGCAAATTAAACTATAGATAATGACCGATCATATGCAATACATACTACATATTACTGTTATACTAAACAACTGGAATTTTCCCAAAAGTCTTAGTACGTTTGATAAATCAGGTTGAAGCAATAAATGTACAGTGCTAGATGCAAATGAAAATATGCTAAAACAAAGGTTACACAAGAAAAAAAGCCAGGAATAAAGTTTATGATCCATCCCAGCTTGCTTTTATAAACCCAACTAGAAGTAAATACAGTGAATTTGAATGATGTAGTCAGCACTGAAGTAAACGAAGCATATGGCAATGAAAATGAAAACTATGTTTAAGACTTTAAAAATGTTATTTCTAATAAGAAAGTATTCTGTACAGTGTGTAGCGCAAGTGTATCTATACTGTGCCATTCAGGCAAAAAAATCCCAAAATGCTTTACAAATTTTAAATGAATATTTACAGTGTAAATTATAAATTGTAACAGGGGGAGAGAGAAATATAGAGGAAAAGGCCAGTAAGAAAAATAGTGTATATTTTAATTCAGGTATGAAAATAAATAATTAATGAAGAGGAGAGATACAGAAAAGCTATTCTAGATAGGAGGAGTTATTGTGAAAGATAGTTCTTGCACCTACTGCAGTGAAAATGAAATGTGTTCCTAACTCACTTAAGCTAAATTAATACGAAGTAGATTTATATCCATTTCAGTGATTTTTAACTAAGTTGAAATTAAATCACAGCTATAGTTAAGTCATTACAAATCTGTATGCCAGCAAGCCCTAAATCTCTCTTTCACTCAGTACATCACATGTAAAATGAAGATGGTAATACTTCCTTTTTCCCATGCCTTATCTATCTTTTATATTTAATCAAAAACTCCAGGAAAGGGGCTGTCTTTTACTGTGTGTTTGTACAGTACTTGTCAGACTGGTACCTCACTTTAAGGCCTGTAGGTACTACTGCAATCAAAATACTAATAATTTAAGGAATATAAAGAATATTTTAGCATGTATTGCATTTTAAAATTAATTCTGCTATTTAACTTAAATGAAACAATGCTCTGCAATGCTGTGTTTTTCCTACTTTTTCTCACTTGCTTCCTTATTTAAGGTAATTTGGACTCCAGAGCCCTGTGGTCTTCCTGCTTATTGAAAACCATTTTTTTATTCATATCAAGAGGTCTGCTTTGGGTGGAACTTATCTGAGGGTAAGTTGTCTGGAGGCCATTATATCTCCTACAGTTTTTATTATTTTTTCTAAGGGAGGCAGTGCTCTGTGTGTGTCTGTGTGTGAGGGAGGGATAGAACATTGCCTAGAGGGTATGGTCATCATAGTGTATAACTATCCCTTATTTTTAGATGGAGTCTTCTGAATATCAGATCCCACTACAGGTAGGTGCACTGACCTCTTAGGTTTTGAATTTGCTCTTCTCTGGCAGCTGCAAGACTGAAACTTTGAAGGGGCACCCCCTCCTGTTCCATGTAAAACTCTTTGAATTGCCCCTGATGTGCTTCTGAGGCTCCCTGCTTGTAGGTAAGGTTCTTTGAAGATGAATACTCCATCATAAGGAAAACATGAAACAAAACGTACTCCCTTATGTCACAGAGTGCTGTAGATGTCTCAAAGATCTTCAGTAAAATGGTTGCTCTTTGGTGGGTGGGAGAACATAGAATGGTTCATCAACCTGCAAAAGCACCAGAATAAAATTATATCCTGAACATACGTTTGGCAAAAGAAAAGCATTCAGAGTCCTCAAAATATTCAGCTCTAGCAATACTTAATTCAAGGGAACTTGTATAGAACTTATTTAACTAAATGCTTCCCCCCGCCCCCTTTTTTTATCGCAAAGCTCACTGCATTGTTTAGTGATGTGGCACCAAATCCTGCCCTCTTCTGTGGGTCCAAATGATTTTTACTGAGATGAAACCACTATGGCTAAGTGGTGAAGATAGGAGGAGTAATTTGGGGAGACCGTACAGGGATGTATAAAACCAGTGGATTACCTATGGAATTCCCTAGTTACCAAATTTAACAGCTGTCAGAGACAAAGCAAGGTTGTTGAACAACCACCCCATGGATCCACTTCCTGTTGATTCTCCATACTGGAGGGTATGAGCATAAGTTTTGCAAAACTTACTTCAGTTGTGAGATTGGAATAAATGCCAGGCAACTAAATCAGCAGCTGTTCCTTGTCCTGCTGCTATATGTTCTTCTTTGTCCCCATGGAAAGTCTCAACAACCAAGTGAACTACTAAGACCAGGGGTTCTCAAATTGTGGGTTGTGACCCCCTAGGGAGTTGCAAGCAACTTAAAAGGGGGCTGCAAACTTCCCAGGTGGTATACGTGGCGGCACGGGGAAGTGACATGTGGTGGTGGCGCAGCGTGGTGGATGGCAGTGGTGGCTGCCATGTGTGAGCTCCCCATCGCCACCATCCAGCACTGGGGGTCATAGTATCACAAGGTTTGAGAACCCCTGACTTAGACCATATGTTACAATAAGGATTTTGTCTTATATAATTAGCATGTATGGTCTGACAGAAGGTAGGGCAGGGTGGTACCTTAGGGCATTTCTACACATACTCTGGGAGTGAGAGGAGAGGGTGCTTTAATTATAGCGGCTCTCAGAGTGGCTTTAATTAAAGTTCCTAGAACGTCTTGTGTATCAGTGTCCCTGCACTTAAAAATGGTAGTGGGGGTGCTTTAACTACCGCTTGTTTGATAAGCTTTAGTTAAAGGGCCCCCGCCACCATTTTTAAGGACAGAGATGCTGATATGCAAGATGCTGGAGTCTGCTGGAGCATGCTAATTACCACACCCCAGCAGACTCGATTAATCAATTCTGCTCCAACGCATTGTAGTTAGGTGTAATGCAACACATGTTTAGGTGCCCTTAAAGATTAACTGATTCAGAGTGGCATGAGTTTTGTAGGCAACAAGCTACTTCATTAGATACTTTAGGTTAGTACACGTCCACCCAGGGTTAACTTAGAGTGGGATCTGCCATTTTTGAAGTGCTCTAAGAGCTGTGAATGTCTGTTCAGTTATGGCTTTAGAGCACTTTGTTTGTTTAACATGTGATGTGTAACGTTTGTACCTAGCCTAAGGTGCCACCCTGCCCTACCTTCTGCTTGACTTCAGACTAATACAGCTAACCACCCCTATGCACTATAGTCTGAAGAGTCCCTGCATCTTAAAAGGCTAGGTTTTATGTCCCTTACTCAGTCTTCATGTGGTAGCTATTCTGTCTAACTATATGTGTTTGTTGGGTTTAGCACCAACATGTCATCAAATTTTAGTTCTGATATGGTGAATATGTAACCAAAAAGTCATCATTATTATCAGTTGAATCTTACAGTTTTGAATGAATAGGTGGCTTTATTTAGGAAAAAATAAATTGATTGCTATGCAGATTTGGTTAAATTAATTATGCCTCATCTAGAGGCAATAGATGATAATAGAACTGGATGTAGGAAAACAAAGAAAAGAAAAACAGAAAGAGACAAAGTAAAAATGCATATTGCAGTTAATGCACGTGATACTACCATTCTTTAGTTCACTTGGCACCTTGTAGGGGTAACTTCCCCGACATAATTCTAAAGATATCTTGTTGGTTGCAAAAAAGAATGGTCAGAGAGACACCTCTGTGTACCTGCTTCCATATGTTACTATTAGGAACTCAAAGAGTAATAATAGTTAGTTCTAGAAATGGGAAGAGACCTTTTCTCCTTCCCTAAAAATTTTGGTAATTTTGGAAAATTCAGGATTTGTCTACTTTAGGCAGACTCTAATACGTACATATTTCTATTTGTTTGCAAGACCTTATCATAAAAGCAGGAATAAAAGGCTATTTCTAGTTTCTTTTTTAAACTATAATAATGATCAGACTGCCTCATAAAATGTACCTCCAGAGGCAGTTACTGCCTGTGGCATCATAAAATGGAATCCTTAGCAGTCCTCTCCTGGTAACTGCTACATGTGGATGAACTGCAGGTTTTTATTGCTGGGAAACCCCCAAAAGAAGCATTTACTAATCCATCAAAGTGGACTCCTAGTGAAGAACACACACATCTAATCAATTACCACTGTTTGTGTAATTCATCTTTGATTTAAAAAAATAAGTAAAGTCATGTGCAATTTAAGCGTGACCCACAAGCTTCTAGCAATTGGAAAATGGGTCCCTTGTGTTTCAAAAGTCACTGCACCTGATGCACAGTTAAAGTCAATATGAATTGCAAGGGGTAAATAGTACAAGCAAGTAAAATCTGAGTTATTTATTCTTAAATCAGAAATGGAATAGTTGTAAAAAATCATGTAATTTTGCTTTCTCTAGCCTGTTCAGAGAAGCAAGATGAGCCTCCAGAATATTTAAAAGCTTGCACATATTTACATTTTAAAGTACATGTTATTTTTTTAACATGATGGATTTGTATTCAAATTATTAGTCCAATAAGCAAATAAAGCAAGTGTCCCAATTCCTATTTGTTACAGAAAAGTGGACGTGTCTACATATGCATTTAAACGTGCCTAAATTTAATGTGCATTAGCTTAATGTGCATTAAGTGGGTTTAGGCAGGCATCTACATGTGCAAGCATTAAAGCGCATTAACGTTGTGTGTGGACTGATTTGGGATTAAAGCTGGTCCCAAGTCAGTCGACACACACAGTGCTAATGCGCTTTAAACTTCTACATGTTTGTAATGCGCCTTAACTATCATGCCTAAATCTGATACCTTCATTTGCAAATATCAATTTTAGGCATAAGTTGCCTAAATTAGCCATTTTAATGCATATTAAGGGTACACACGTGTAGATGTGTGCCCTTAACGTGCATTAACTTAGGATAATGCTCATTAAAGCATTACATGTACATGTACCCAGTATCACTTTTCTCCAAATGATAGGCATGGTTGTCGTATTTTTATCTTAATCTACATATCTTTCTGTCTAATACTGGAATATTGGTGCTTGTAATAATTGGTTCTTTATTGGTATTTTGTGTTTTTTCTGCAATGTTTTGACTTTCTTCACTGAGTCCTTTTTCATTCTATTCCTGCATGATCTAGTGCTTACAAATGTTACTAATTCTGGTGGAGCTGTGAGGTTGTAAGGAAGAGGCAGTATTTTGATTTGTTGTGCAAGTCATGTCCTGTGTTTGGTATCTCTCTATTTATCTTTTCTAGTAAAAATATCTCAGTTGTTACTGGCTATATTTAGCAAGTGAACTCAATCTCTCTCCTCTATCTGTTATTTTCTATCTGTCCCTAGCTTCAAGGGCTGGTGGCACACACTACAGTGGATAAATGCAAGCAAATCTAATAATGTCTTTCTAGTAAACACATTTATCTGGTATCATACTTTATTTTAACTCTTAATGTAACTGGATAATCACTTCTCCATTATTATAATTGGATTTGGAAGTTAATTTTTGCAATTTCATTACACCTATAGCATTTCTATAGGCTTACTTAGAGTACTTAATCCTGTAATTTCTACTGGAACTGCATTTTATTTCTATTGTATGTTCACTTTTTGTCCTGTGATTCCTCAGTGCATTTACTAATTGCACTTGTCCTCACTGGGAGTATAAACAAAAAATTATAATAAAGTTTAAACACCTCATTCTGGATCAGGCTAATAGGGTGTAAATAGCACTCAGTCTTGTAATATTTTAATATAAGACATACAAAGCAACATTTCATCACTGAAGTCATTGTATAACAATGCACTTTATATTGATGGTAGATAAAGAATAGCTGTTTCCAGATTTTTAGATTTGATAATTTATAGATATATTCATGCAACTTTAATATTCTCTAGCTATTAAATTATGGCACTGTAGTGGCTTTTAAAATATTCATTTTAACCAGATCTTTTTGATAAACATCAGATAGAGAGATTCTAGTAAAGTCTGCATGACAGAGACTTAAAATATTAATATTTTAAGATCTCCATGTTTAAGTTTTGGAAATCCTATTTCTAAAAATGGGATTTTTTTTTTCATTGATATGTTATTGAAAATTTGTTCACTTTTTAATTGAAAACTTTAACTTGGAATTTGACATTATTCCCTCAATATTCTGTGCATTTTTATCTACAATAAATTGTTAAATGTAAAAAAGTCCTCTTGCCCCTCATACTCAAAGCTAGAAAATGTCTCCATTTTAATCAAATTATTTTCAGTCAATTACATTTCCAAATATTCACAATATATGATACTTCAGGGTTATCAGTGTTTTAAGTTTGCAATTGATGACTATCATTAACTCATTCCAATATTAAACTACATCTTAATCACTGTGGGGTTTTTTTTAGGATTCTTTTTATTTTCTGCATGGTTGCCACTTCTTTGATTAGAGGTTTTTTTGCTCAGATACTGTGTATCTCTCTTTTA